CTCGCAGGCTGATGTCCTTCCCGGATTGATTGAGGAATTCGCTTATAAGAGACAGGCACCAAACTACCGGACCTGCACACACACACACACACACACAATCAGTTTCATGCATGTTTATCTTCCTCCTGTCGTGTGTCTTTCCTCGGATTTTTTCTTTTTTCTTTTTGTATGCCCACTGAGCACCTTCAAGTAGGGCCGAACGGTCGGTCATTCCTCGTCTGGAGTGCCTACAGCACTCTTAGGGGAACCGCTCGGTTTGGGATGCCTGTGTTGCCTGTGGGTGATGATGGATGTCTGTTGGAGTGACTCCCTGGCTCAGTGGGTGGTGGGAACCAACAGTCTGCAGGGTCCACCCACAATGTGAGTGCGTCATGCGCCGCTTTGCTCAGAACTTGGATGTGTGTACTGCCTTATCTGCGCTCCGCCGCTGCCTTGCTGCCTATCCCTCTTGCTTCACAGGTCATTCTTGGCAAGGTGCTGTCTTCACCGTGTGGTGCGGCCGTGTTCATTGCCTTGCGCTTCGCTGCTCCGCTGCCTTGCCGCCGCCCTTCCACTGGTCGTGCCTTCGGTATCCCTTGCTTGCACACCTTGTAGTTCAGTCGCCTTGCTGGTGCGGCCTCGTGCTTTACCCGCATGGTTGTTGTGCTTCTCATCTGCTTGCCCTGTCATCCCTTGCACTGTGTTTGCCTTGGTGGTGTTGCGTTGTGATTCACTGCATGGATGCTACACTGTGTGCCCCGTGTGCCGTGTCATTCCTTGCAGTCGTTTTTGGCGTTTTGCCGCCATGTTCCCTCTACTGCGTTGCCTGGTGCTCCGCAGGGTTGCTCTCCCCCGGCTGGTATGTTCCGCTTGGGGACAGTGTCCCTTCAACATGGGTCAAACGGTTCATGAACCAAACCATAAAAAAATATGGACCGCAGTCGACGGTTCAGCCTCCTGATGCGTCAGTGCAACTCTGACCAAACAATCTTTCATCATCAGTTTTTTTTATTTTTCCCAGTTTTTGTCACTTCTAGCGACTTGAACTTTTTCCTTTCTCGCTGGCTGTGGTGTGCCTGGTACTGTTGGCTCCGGGTTCTTAACTTGTGCACTTTTGTGACGTATGGTGTTATCCGTGACGACCTTTCACTCCCAGTCTCAGGACTATTTCAGTTTTACCTTTGAAATGGTTTCACTGGTGGTGTTCGTGATTATCTCGTGTTGGGGACAACTTATAATTGTGTGTTCTCTTTTAGGTACGTTTGTTTTTCCTCTTTCTCCTATTTTTTTTTTCTGAGTGTATTTTGTGTCTCTAGCCGAGCACCCTCTAGCAGTGCCAAACAGTCGGTGGTTCCTCGTTTGGAGTGCCAACTGCACTCTTAGGGGGGCCGCTCGGTTCGGGATGTCTGTGTTGCCTGTCCGTGATGACGGATGGTCATCGGAGTGTCTCCCTGGCTCAACGGTGGTGGGAACCAACAGTCTGCGGGGTTCAATCATGATGTTAGTAGGTCATGTGCTGCTTTGCTCTGTGTTGGATGTGTAGACTGTCTCGTCTGCGCTCTGCTGCTGCCTTGCTGCCTGTGCCGCTTGCTTCGCAGGTCGTCCTCGTTGCTCTGCTGCCCTGCCGCCTATCCGCGGGCTGTGCCTCCCGTGTCTTTTGCTCGCGTGCCTTGTGGTCTGGTGGCCTTGTGGTGGTGCCTCGTGCTTCACTGCACGGTTGCTGAGCTGCTTGTCCGTGTGCCCAATCGGCCTTCAGTGTCCTTTGCTTGCATGCCTTGTAGTTTGGTTGCCTTGTTCGTGATGCCTTGTGCTTCACTGCACGGTTGCCGAGCTTCTCGTCTGCTTGCCCTGTTGGCCTTCTGCGTCCTTTACTTGCTTGCGTGCCTTATAGTCTGGTTGCCTTGCTGATGTTGCCTTGCGCTTCACCGCACGGTTGCCGAGCTGCTCGTCCGCTTGCTCTGTCGTTCCTTGCAGTCGTCTTCGGTGATAAGCAGTTGGGCTGCCTCTACTGCCTTTCCTGGTGCTCCGCAGGGTTGCTGCCCGCTACTATGTCCCGCTCGGGGACAGTCTGCCTTCAACATGGGTCAAAGGGTTCATGACCCAAACCATCAAATACGGAGATTCCACAGATTGTCGAGGGTTCAGCCTCCTGATGAGTCAGTGCAACTCCAACGAAACAATCTTGTTATCATCAGTTTTTATTTTTTTCGGGCTTATGATTTTTTTGGGACTTGTATCTTTTCCTGTTTGCCTGTTCAGTGTGCTTGCACGCTGTCTGCCCTCCCGCCTACTTGATGCACTTGTGTGCCGTCTGCCCTTCCACCTCCCCTGTGCCCTCCAGCCTTCGTCCTTCGCTGTTGCTTGTCATCCCATGCCTTATGATGTCATGCCTTTTCATTGCCTGCTTGGTGTAGTTGTCATCTGTCCGCCTCCCCCATGCCCTCCATCCTATGTGGGACTTGGGAAACTGGTTGTGGTTAGCAATGGATGTATGAGGTAGCTTCAGAGAAGTAAAGTGGCAGCAGTGGTTTGCCTGTTTGGTTTGTTTGCGTGTGGCCTGTCATTTTAAGCTGGCAAGGTAGCATGGATGGGTGGCAGTTAAAACGGCGCGTGATGGGCTATGGGTGGACCTGGTGTACCACTGAAAGAGTGGAGTAGCATGGCGGATGCGCCGTGAGATCATTTCCGAACACACACACGGAGGGTACCCCCCTCTAGAAACTCCTGATGGGTTGATTCCTACAGCTGCACTTTGGAACCACTTCAAACCCACGGTCTAGTGCTGTAGTAAGTCCACCCTGTCTTCTATTTGCTTGCCTGGTATTGTTGGCTCCAGGTTTTTTCCTTCTTTGTTTTGTGCTGTTTATCGCCTCCCTAACTTGTGCACTTTTGTGACGTATGGTTTTATCCGTGACGACCTTTCACGCCCAGTCTCAGGATTATTTCAGTTTTACCTTTGAAATGGTTTCACTGGTGGTGTTCATGATTATCTCGCGTTGGGGACAACTTATACATGTGTATTCACACACACACACACACAGGCACACACAGGCACACACAGGCACACACACACACACACACACACGCGCACACACACACACACACACACACACACACACACACACACACACACACACAGCCGTCATGCCACTGGGTGTCGATGGCTGAGTGTGTGTGTAGAGTGGGTTTTATAACTGTGTCAGATCACTTTCTGACAGTTATTGCCTTTCTTGTCAAAGGTTTGGACCAACAGTCTGCTAGGATTGCAAGGTTGGTGTGAGTAAAGTTGGCAACTTTTCTCTCTTTGGGGTATTGCTAACTCTGGTCTATGTGGTGAGTCCTTATCCATCAGTCAAATGCATCCCGGGCAGATTGACTGCCCAGGTTCAACCTCCTGACGAGTCGGTGAAAGTCCGACAAAACAGTCTGGCACAGTCATGCTTTTTTTTTAGTGTATACTACTGTATAGCGAATATGACAACACACACACAAACACACGTGCACGTACACACACACACAAATATATATATATATATATATATCGTCAAATAGAACTGCCCGGTAAACCGTAGGCAGAGAGGGAGAAGAGGACAATATATATATATATATATATATATCGTCAAATATATATATATATATATATATTCTATTTGACGATATATATATATATCGTCAAATAGAACTGCCCGGTAAACCGTAGGCAGAGAGGGAGAAGAGGACAACAAATGAGGGGCTGTGACAAACTGTATATATATATAATAGTAATAATAACTATTATAATTGGAAAAAAGAAAGAAAACAGCACTGCTGAAACCAGCTCTCAATGGAGAACTAATGATCAAGCTTAGGAAAACATATGCCCCAGCCGCTAAGAGTTTGGCTTTTGTGTGTGACCAGGGGGCAATTTTGTCCTTTTTCATACGTGGACTGGTAATAACTTAATAAGGCCAGTGAGAAGAAAGAACTGGACCACCATATTACCCCAATTAGGGGATGACGGCGGCCCTCGCTGTTCCAACAAAAGCTCGTGCTATGAACGCAAGCGACTGAAGGATTTTCACCCTGCGCTGCGGACCAGCTGGCGAGGCCCAGCCATACTCCGTGGACTAGGGCGGTAGTGGTGATTCGCCATCGCTGCCCTTGGTCATCTTGGTGTCTGCCTGGTCGTCTTGCCCAGGTGGTGGTGGATCTCCCACCAGGTACATCAGGAGACCGTACGTTGGTGTGAGGTGCCTATTTTTTGGATCTGACGGTGCGTTCAACGTTCAAGAGATGGAGGTGGTGGGGGAGCTACAACGTGTGGAGCTGACGAATGGATGAAGACCTTGGAGATGGGGTGCAGGCGGCTACAGGCGATTGTGGGAGAGCTGTCTTTGCGGTCGAATGAGGCGCCAGAGGTCGAAGGGGGAGCGATTTCTCTGGCTGATTGGCTAAAAGTTATGACGGACGACATTCTGGATATTATCTGGGAGCTGGAGGAGGGGCCGGATCCCCAGCTTGAAGCCTGCATCGATTCGAGGAGGGCAGATGGCATGATGTCTTCCTGCTATGCCCTCTTCACTGAGGGTAGCAACCTGCGCGATATGCTTGAGGAGCGGCTGAACGGCGATAACGATATGGAGGATGCGGACTCGCAGGAGGATGGAGAGAAGGAAGACGAAGATAACTGCGGCGTCAGCATCAACAACAACAACAACAACAACAACAACAACAACAATAACGGTGACAGCGACAACAAAAATGGTGACAGCACCGACAACAACCATAACGACAACAACAACATCAGCGATGACAACAACAGCCTCTACAACGACAGCGCAGTCGGGGAGAACGGTTAAAGCAATAACAAGGACAACAACAACAACAACAACCACCACCAAAACATCACCGATGACCACAGCATCAGTGGGATGGGCAGCAGTGACTGCGCAACCATTTTCATCATCAGTATGGTAAGTGAGATGCCAGATTCTGACGTGGACAGTGGGAAGGGGGTTAGGGCTGGAACAAAGTGGTGCTCTATTCTCCTCCCCCCTCCAATCTTGTAATGAAGGGGGGGGGCAGGTTATTGCTGTCCGTTTCAGGGTGGGGGTAGGATAGTCGAAAGTGATTCAAATTGCCCGGCCCGCAGTTTCAATCGACAAGAGCGATCAGCCTCTGCTCGGCGTCATTATGGAGATATGGATGATATAGGTAATAAGCAGGTTGATGAGGTGGTTAGGGTCTCCCCCTCGGATGACATATTTGATTGATAAACATAAGATACAGTCTGCCATGTTTTGGTGATGCCTCCAAGCAGAGGTGGGTAGTTTAGGGTTTCATGTTTTGCTTTGACTTACTTGTCAATCCTTCCCTTATACACATCACATCTGCATTAGGGTTTCCTGCCTTGGCAGAATGACATGTCCTCACATCAATGTATAGGGACGCTGGACCCGATTTCCAGCTGATACTCCACATCACAACGTAGTACAGGGAAGCTTGGGTTTCCTGCCTTGATTGAATGACATATCCTACAGGGAAGCTTGGGTTTCCTGTCTTGATTGAATGACATATCCTCACATCGCTGTATAGGGACGATGGACCCAATTTCCAGCTGATACACATCATTGTAGAGGGACGCGGGAGCCGATTTCCAGCAGGTGCAGCTCCCCACCAATAGATGGGAGTCTTCGACGCAGGGGCAGACTTAGCGGGGCTGCTCTTGTCACCTCGTTAAGTAGGTTTCCCACAAGCGAAGTTAAAAAAAAAAAAAAAAAAAAAAAAAAAGAAGGCACGCGACTAGACAATGGTTACGAAAAGAGCACCGTGGTTTCCAAGCACAGACACAGGTCCTGCTCTTCTCTCCCTGGGTTGTCACGAGTGTATACATACTTGGAGAGTCTGTCCTATACCTTGGGTTTGATTCTTCTATGTATGACCTCCATATCTCGAGTTCTTCCGCTAATGTCCCTCCCTATCTTGCCTTCTTTATCGCTAATGTCCCTCCCTATATTGGTTTTTTTCTTTCGGAGACTTTCGCAAATGCCTCCCAATCTTAGCAGCTTCTTTGTTGACGCCTCTCCCTCTCTTCCCTGCTTTCACTATCTTGGCTGCTTTGGCTCACGTCTCAATAAACAGCTACATGTGCCACTTATGTACAACGACGAGCACCATCAGCACCACCTGCACGTCGGCCACCGGCCGTTGCAGCAACAGAAAACTGACCATCGGCACGTCCCTCGCGCATTCCAACACATCCTAGCCATTCTGCCAAAAGAAAGCATTGCAGTTAAAAAAAAAACGGGCCAGTTGGGCTAGCCAAGCTACATATACATTGGATAGGAACAGGATTCGCTAATAAGCCCCACTTAATTGGAGACTTAGGATTTATGTAATGGGAAGCTTCAAGAGAACTCTGTTGCAAATTAAGAGAGAGGTTACATTTTCTCTACCCCTCTAAACCCCTCTAAACCACTCTAAACCCTCTTCAAGTTTCAGAACTGACCTCGCTGCTAAGCTCGCGTCATACCTGTGCACATATCCMCCCTTCGTTATCAAAGGTCTCTATACACACACAGCCAGGCACGATTTTTTTTTTTTTTCTTTTTTTTTTTTATTATTTTTTTTTTTTCCCTGCTGCGAATACCAATTACTAATGATTACACATTTTCTAAGGGTCATGAGCAAATTAGTAGCCTATTCCAACAAAAGGCCTCAGTTTCAAAGGTGTGACCCACTGCGAAAGGGTGAATGCACCCTACCACGTCACTCAAATAGAATGTCTGGTCATTATCGCGGTATCTAGACTGGAAGTTGCCCCAAATACAGCTATTATGATGAGTGGGTCTTCTATTCGGGTGAAGACGGTAGGAGGGCGTCGCACACATATCATCCCTGCTGATAAGAGAATATTATGCATACTGCCCTACTGGTCTTCCATGTACATTCTGCCTCAGTCCCCGCAGGTGCTGTCGAATTCCAAAGGTGGTCATAACCTGAGAGGGCAAGGCTGTCGGCCTACGCGGCAAAGGGCCAACTTACCTGCATGCCACTGCCAGATAACAAATCTCACAGCAGCACCCCTTGTCCGAGTACTCACGCACAACAACGCGTCTACATCCGTCCCAGTACTCACGCACTCAGCAACACGTCCACATCCGGGGAAACCTATGTATCTGGTTATCTACGACCCTATCTGGATGCATATAAATTTATCAGACACCTTGAGTTCCCTTAGTCTCTGTGCAGGATAATGAACTTGGGCAAAAGGCCGGGCAGGTGCACGATCTGTATCATGGCAGACAGAGTTCAGAAAATCCTGGGCGGACAGGTTTGCAAAAAAGTCACCGTCCCGTTGCAGTCAACTGTGCCACACATTTTCTTTCCCTCTCCCAATTCACATCACAATACCACCAGGATGTCACACAAAAAGTGGCAGTCACAGACTTCTCAGACTGTGCTCTTGAAGAGCTGCAGTTCTGTGTGGGCATGCCCCTATGCGTGCGTGCGTGTGCGTGTTCTATACACTCAAAAAAAGCACGACTGTACCAGACTGTTCCATCGGACTTGTGTGCGTGTGTGTGTGTGGGAGTAGGTTCATGTGTGTGTGTGTGGGAGTAGGTTCATGTGTGTGGTGTGTGTGTGTGTGTGTGTGAGAGAGTAGTGTGTGTGTGAGTAGGTTCATGTGTGTGTGTGTGTATATGTGTGTGTGTGTGTGAGAGAGTAGGTTCATGTGTGTGTGTGTGTGTGAGTAGGTTCATGTGCCTCAAATCTCTCTCTATCTCGCTCTCACACACACACACACACACACACACACACACACACACACACACACACACACACACACACACACACACAGGGATATGCCCACACAGAACTTCCGACTGGCACATTCCCATGCCACAGAAGCCACTTGCTTAAGTCGTGCTCGCTCGGAATTGTTGTAGGCAAGTTTGTGAGAGATACTTGATGCACACAGTCATTAGTACAGGGATTTCTCTTCAGTGCACCACGTTTTCACTTCCATTGCGATTCATCTATTTAGGTGTGCCACGATTTCTCTTGCGTTCAGCAGACATAGCTTCATTCAATTTAAAAAAAAAAAAAAAAAAAAAAAAAAAAAAAAAAAAAAAAAAAAAAAACACTGCACTTTTCATTTGCATGGGATTCTTATTGTACGATTACTGCAATCCTCCGCAACCTTCTAGTGCTAGCCTACTTGCCACACTGAAATGGTTTCCTATGCTGACATCTATCTGTCTGACCACTGGAAAGAGCAAATTCGGCATCGAGCTGCTGCAGACGATCCCTCTCCATTCCCACTCCGGTCTATAACCATATTCTATAGACTTTTTAGAGGTCTATAGTCTTCCCCCGAGCAAGCACGTCCATGCATGCACACACAAACTGACACGCACGCACACATGGACGCTCGAACACACACATGAACACACATACACCCACTGAACTGCAGCAGACGACCCCTCTCCACTCACTCCGCAGTCATAATTTATCCACCCTTGACAGGCCTGCAGCCTTCCCCCCCAATAGAACACACGGTCGTTATCACTGTATCCATAGAGTGGAAGTTGCCCCAAATACAATTACAATGACCATACGTTCTATTTGGGGCGAAGACAGCAGCGGGCAAGAAAGCAATTGATGATGGACGAGTCTAGCGGCTAAGTAAACAAGATCCAGCGGCCACACCTCGAACAGATCCAGGGCCCACACCTCGAACAGATCCAGCGGCCACACCTCGAACAGATCCAGCGGCCTAGCTCAGTTGGTAATAATAAGACACGCAAATGGCATTCAGGAGGTCTTGGGTTCAATCCCCCCCCCGTTGGCCTCATGTACCTTGCTGGGCAATCTTGGTGTCCACCGCCTAAGGAGATAGGCGGTTGGTCGCCCTGAGTAGCATTGGGCAGAGACTGCTGATGTTTGTGGGGGAAAGGAACAAGGATTAGGCCAGTTGGCATCATCCCTGATGCTACCAGCCCAACCCTGGCCGGGATCGCCCACCTGCAGGTTGAGTGAAGCCGCCACATGTTCCCTCATTGGAGGCTCGAACACGGATGTGACTGGTACGAGGTTCGCTGTAATATAATAATAAATTAATGACACGATAAGGCCATCCTGTCCAGATTCCACAGGTAATTGAATTGGTTGGACGTAAACCACCAGTGCTTCCTAAAGTCGTTCCCGTTAACAAGCCACGATTTTAGAAATAGTACGAGCAACTACAGGAGCGCCCGCCCAACTTCATCCGACAAGAAATGTTTCTACAGTCTTCCCCCGAATACAACGCACGGTCGTTATAGCTGCTGTATTTGAGGCATTTTTCAGTCTAGATACCAGCTATAATGACCATGCGTTGTATTCGGGGGAAGACTATAGTTACTTCTACTCTAATTTTTTTTCCCATGACCAATAGCTGGGCCAAGTACTGGCGCTTTAAAAGAAGTAACCTTTCCAAGTTTCCAAACGAAAAACTCGAATTGAATACTGCTCTCCAAACTAGGCTACCTGAGTGGCCAGGTACCACCCACTTGCCCGGCCGGGCCAAAAAAAAAAATAAAATAAATAAAGAACAACCAATGAATTTAATAATTTTACATTTTATATTTGGTAAAGACTTTTGCTAGCACCCTGAGACAAAACTTGTTCAGCTTATTTTTCTGCATCACATAGTTTTTTCTTCCCCTTTTTTTTTTTTTTTTTTTTTTTTTTTTTTTGCCTTGGAAGTTCCATGGTCCTTGCACGTCCGGGGCGCCCGGAAAACAAGGTCACCCGGGTGGCCCGGGTGGTAGCCTAGGCTCCTTAGCTTTTCAAACATGAATCGAAAACTCCTAATGGAATATTAATACATTATCTTTCAAACATGAATTGAAAACTCCTAATGGAATATTAATATATTATTGAATACTGCTCCTAAAATTTCCAAACATGACGCATCCGAAGGCTTAAAAGCTGTTGACTTGATGACATCATCCGATAAACGTAGAATAAGCCAGCAGCAAACCAACATAGTCCTTGGGGACAACCGTTAAAATTGGAGCGAAACAGAGAAGGGTAAAATAGCAAATGGCCCCTGCGCAAGGATGACACGCATAAATCGACAAATGGAAGTTCTGTATTCAATCCGCAGATCCATCGGAAAATAGAGCCCTTCCCTAAATAAATAAATATATATAAAAAAAAAGAACCCCAAACTACAGACCTGCACACACAAAAAAAAAAAAAAAAAAAACAGAGCACCAAACTACCGGACCTGCACACACACACACACACACACAACTAAAAAAAAGGGAAACAGAGCACCGAATTACCGGCCCTGCACACACACACACAAAAAAAAAAAGAAAAAAAAAGAAAGGGAAAACTAGGGCGCTGTCACGGTTTTCGTTTGATAATGCGCTTCAGTCACCATTTCACGGACGTTGTATCAAATTGAGAAAAATCCTAAATGTATACAACCTAGCTTCAGGGTCAGGTGGGGATGTGTTGTATTCCAGGGATGCCTGAACTGGATTTTAAACCGAAATGGTGACTGCACCCTAGGAGTTAAACCCCACCACCCCTCTCCCCCCCCCCCCCCTTTTTTTTTTTTTTTTTCTTAACAACCCCTCTGGTGCTCACGGTGCAGGTAACCCCCCACCTCCCCCCTTGTTAAACTAGGGGCAAAATTTAATAAAAATCGAAGCTCCGAAATTATTTAACGTGAAGAGCATGATGAGCTATGATCTATCAGCAGAGATGAAATAGGGTCTTGCCACTCTCGCCGCCGCACACACTCGCCAAATGTGCAAGTGAAATGGGAACACAAACCTTCGTCCGGCGGAAGATGAAACAATGCACCTCCATAATTTTTGTTTTTTCAACTTTTTTATGGATTTGGTGAGTGGAGTGCAACGAGGCGCACATAGTCCCTCGCTCCACTACTCACCACATGCACAGAAGACAAACATTTTGGCAGTGAATCTTTCCGTGTTCTAGCGGAATATTCGTTCTCATTTTGCACCGCCATAATTTTTATTTTTTATGGATTTGGTGAGTGGGGTGCAACGAGGAGCGCATAGTCCCTTGCTCCACTACTCACCACATGCACAAAAGACAAACTTTTGGGCAGTGAATCTTTCCGTGTTCTAGAGGAAGATTCGTTCTCATTTTGCACATTCTTTACGTAGTGGAGCTAGGCCTATTCACTCACAGAGCATTGGAGATTACCACAGGTGATGTGATAAATACCTCTTATGGCCCATCAAATCCATATGGGTATTTTCGGGTAGCTACGTCGCTATGAATGATCAGGAATTGCAGGGACAAGCACGCATGCAGTGGTCGTCCCAATCGCACTAGCGCAACCTACGCCGAAAACATCGACAGGTTACGCTGCTGTTTGCATTGGCATTGGGCCTCGCTCCACTTCTCTTCACATGCACAAAAGACAAAAAATACGACAGTGCATCTTCCCATGTTCTAGCACAAAATTCGTTCTAATTTTCTACATTTCACAAGTGGCAGAGCCAGGCCCATTGCACCGTGTTGAGGTGGTGTTTCTAACATTATTTCTAATAATCCCACATAGGGCCTCGCTCAATTACACAACGCGCTTATGTATCTGCACCCCATAGTCGACCCAATACACTCAAACGTTGGCATAATTATGCACCTGGTCCAGAAAACTATCCAAAGGCATGTAGGACGTTGAGTAGTGAGGCAAGACCCATAAACCTCTTTTCATCTGCTGTGCATTGTACATATGGCAATGTCTGCATTCATGACCCAAGGTCGAGCAGGCACACTTGCAGATCTCTTTCTTCGTCTTCGTTCGCTTTTTCATAGAACAAAGAGATCTGCAAGTTTGCCTGCTCGACCTCGGATCATGAATGTAGACATGGCCATGTGTCCAATGCAGAGCTTTGGTGTCTATCAGCTTTCAGAAACACCAAAGCTCAAGTCAGAGTGGCCTAGCTTCGTAAACAGTGGGCAAAGAGAAACGGAAAAAAAATATATATATATATATATGCAGAGAGGGTGTTTATCAGCTTTCAGAAGCACGACAGCAGCTCATGCCAGAGTTGCAAAGCCAAGTGCCAGGAAAAGAATTAAAAAAAAAAAAAAAACTAGCATAAATATGCAGAGAGAGTTTAGATGGTCGCACTCTGTGCCCACAAAGAGAACCCAAAGGCAAACATTCGGATTTTTCAAAAAAAAAGAAGAAAAAAAAAGGTCAGGATCGTGTCACCGGAAGGGGTAAAAAAGAAAGACCATGCTATAGAGCGGACTTGCCCATTAGACAGTGCTGTACTCCGCTTCTGCCGGCCGACAAAAAAAGACAGAAGACGGAGTAGGTGGAGAAGACAAGACCACCACCGCTCCCCCTTAACCCCCCTCCCCACCCATCA